CAATAAAATGGGTAGAGGAAGAAAATTGCAAATGTCAAGAGGGAAAATACCTTAATTGTATGTATAACAAACTCGTTAATGGCCGCGTTATAACTTAAGACGTGGAAACACATGTTAAGTCCCACTAAGGATGAGGTGCAATGTAAATGACAAGGTGGTTCGGAAATAATTCGCTATAAAATATGTCTAGTATGTCTGTCATCTATTCGTTGTTCGTGATAACACGGTCACAAAATTATCTCTTAAAGACAGTTATTAATGCCATAACATCTAGAAACCTCTATGATAATCAAACACGTCAAACATTAGTTCTGTTAATTGATTATGCACCTTATATGTAGGACTTAAAATTTAAACGATATCTCTGTAGCTACTCGACTGAGGCATAGGCAGCACTCATTTGTTATTTGCTTTTAGTTACTTGGGACAATTTCTTGGGTTTTAGGTTTTTTACGTGGTCTTTAGTTACTAATAATGGAACTGATATGTCTTGTACTGTCCATCACGGGACATCGTGGCTCTGTCTTGACAATTTATAGTTATGACTGTGCTTTTATTTGATCCTTCAATTGCCAGAAAATTCATTACCTGACGAACTCAAGGAATTCAAGTTCTGATGTACCCTGTAGATATATCAATCCATTTTTAGTTCAGGATTTGTACATGTATGTCAAAAATTAACTGAGCGCTGTGTTTTGTTTACAGTTTCGTAGAAAAGTTAAGACCCAAGTCGTGATTTTATTATGTATTTATTCGATTTAACCCATAATATTTACCGGTAAATAGTTTCTTGTAATACTTAACGTTAGTACCTGTCAGCAGATGATGTATAGGATGATTTTAGGGATAGGGTTAGTCATGGTGAAAAGGCTTGGTTGGCAACAAAAATAACGCGATAACTGCATAACAATCTTTTAAGGTGGGGGTTAACCTAAAAACACACCATTTTTTCAAACTTTTCTCGTGGTGACATTCAATTTCAAACCATGGCAAAGTTACATTTTTAGAACGTTTAAAGACCAAAAATTATGAAAAAAATATATATTTGTACCCTAGAACTGTATTGCAACCTGACTCCGGCTGATTAAATCTGTCATCTACTGGGGAATGCCAGGGTTTACTTGAGAAAAGATAACTCCTACAAGAATTGATCAAAGTGAATATTTTTTGATTTTTTTAGCTTACTGTTTTTTTTAGCTTACTGTTTTGAGCAGAGAGATTTTTGTTTAGTTGAAAACACATGAAATGGTGACCAGTTAAATCTGATACAGAAAATCCAGCATATGTTTCAATGCATAACTTCGACAATATGCACTGGATGGAAAAGCTCTCTGCATAAAACACAAAACTTACTCAGAACAACAAATTCCGACAAGTTCAGCTCAATTTGAGAAATCCTTCTCAAAATATCTTTTCTCAAAGACAAAAATAACTCGTTTTTAGTAAACGAGCTTTGAAC